TAAAACGCTTTACTTAGAATATATGCATAGAGGTAGCACACTGGTAAAGCAGTATATGGTGATATTCTTTTGTGTTGAAATATAATTTTATTTGTATGTTAATAAATAAAAGTGCCTGGGGGTCAGAGCTAGTAGCAAGCCATAGCAGAAGTCTGGCAGTGGTAGCACACATCCTTAATCCCAATCACATGTCAGGCAGATCTCTGTGTGTTCTAGGGTACAGCCAGCATGGAGACACAGGCCTTTAATCTCAATACCAACCATAGAGACCTGGAGGTCTGTATAGACAGGCAGTGATGAGGAGGTCATGTGGTTTGGTTTACAACCAATGAGAATGCAGAACAGATAGTCAATAAAAAGACAGATACACAGGAAGTAGTTCTCTTTCTGAGAGGAAGGACAGCAGTGGCAGTGAGGGGTAAGAAGGAGGTTTTAGTCTCAGCTTTTAGCCACTGTTCTGACCTCTTGGGCTTTTAGTTCTGCATTTGGCTCTATGTTTCTTATTTAATAAGACCGTTACATTTACAGCAGTTTGACCCTCAAGTTCAAGAATCTGGGTTTCATCCCCAGCATCCTCCATGTAACAGCAGAATTGAAACAACATTCCAACAAGATTGATGCCTTAGTTATTCTTCCATTGCTGTGATGAAACACCATGACCAAGGCAACTTTTTAAAATTTTATTCTATAATTTAATTTAATTTTACATATCAGCCACGGATTCCCTTGTCCTCCCCACTCTTGCCTCCTCTTCACCTTCCCCCCAGCCCACCCCCCATTCCCACCTCCTCCAGGGCAAGCACTCTCCTGGGGATTGAGTTCAACCTGGTATATTCAGTTCAGTCAGAACCAAGGCAACTTATAGAACAAAGTGTTTAATAGTGGCTGTTTACAGTTCCAGAAAGCTAGAAGTCCATGACCATCATAGCAGAAAGCATGGCAAAGACAAGCAGGCATGGTGCTATAGACCCAACTGAGAGCTCCCATCCCAGTCTACAAACAGGAACTAGAGATGGTGCACAGTGGGGAATGGAATGGGGCTTTTAAAACATGACAGCATGTCACCAGTGAAATCTCCTCCAACTGGGCCACAACTTATCTCTCCTAAGTAGCCAACAACTGGGGACCACTTATTCAAATGCTTGAGACTTAAGGAGGATATCTCATTCAAAGCACCATAATCAATTTTCTGTTTCTTTTTCCTCAAATTCTTGTCATGTAGTACTTGTCAAGGAAAAGTCCTGGAAAGAATATGTGTCTGTAAAAGCTGCAGTGATTTGAAGTGGTTGGAATATTGCAGGCCCCAAAGTGCATTCTCTTATTTAGGCCTATCTTTTGCCTCCAGAATAGCCATTCCTGACCCACTTCTGTGTTGAAACTAACATCCTAAGAATAAATAGATAAAAGTCTATTTGGAACCTCTTACTTTACCAGACTGCTAACTTCCACAAACCCAGAAACTGAGAATGTCATCATGTATTATGAGGCCTATAAGAGAGATTCCTATACTTCAATATTGCTATAATTGTATCTCTGTTGTACCCATAAATGTACTTTAAAATTGCATTTATTTGTGGAAACACTATGAAAACTTGTAATGCTGCTTGCATGTTATAATATGGAATTTGGGGTACCTAAAATCTGTATTACCAGGCCATTGTTGCTCAAATAGGCTCTAGAAAAAACTCCTGTTCCCTTTGCATTGAGAGCTGTGTTTTGTGTCAAAATCATCATACAATCTATGTCTGTTGAATAGCTTAAAGAATATTAAAGCAAAGAGGTAATAACATATCTAAATTTCATAAATTGGAAGGCAGCAATTAATAATATTATTTAATTTGCTCACTAGATATATTAATGGTATAGTTCACATATTACATTATAATTAGTGAAATGCCACTTAAATTTTAACAGACAGATTAAGATTTTGAAGATCTTGCAAAATACAAATTTCTGATTCTGTGCTTCTCTAATGATAGTAGTATAGATTCTTCTTGTTTAACAAAAAACTAAGAAATTCCAATACTGTGGTGATATATTGTGTTCCCCAAAATATTGTTTACCCTAATAAAGCTTATCTGAGGATCAGAGGAAAAAGCCAGCCACTATTGTAAACATAGAAGTCAGGCAATGGTAGCACATGCTTTTATCGTAGCATTCAGGAGGCAGAGATCCATCCAGATCTCTGTGAGTTCAAGGCTACACTGGGGAAAAGAGCCAGGCATGATAACACTTGCCTTTAATACCAACACTAACCATAGAGGTCTGGACGTTTGTACAGGCAGACAGAAAATGATGTATCTGGGCAGAGAGAGGAATTGAGATGCAGAATAGAAAGGCATATAGGGGTATACAGGAAGAAGGTGTCTTTGAAGACTGAGGGCTTGTAAGGTGAGGTTGGCATGGCTTTTCCTATTCCTCTGATCTCTTAGGTTTTTAACCCCAATATCTGGCTCTGGGTTTTTATTAATAAGACCATTTAGCAATTGATCTAACACAATACTGTTGGTTCAAATACTAGAAAAATACTTTGCAGATATACTATATATAATAAAAGAAGAATGGGGCCTATCATCAGAATCTCAATGGCTTATTCTGAATGAAATGAACAAGTTAACTGAAGACCTGTTCAGAAAAACATAGAATCAATAGAATCAAGACAACAGGAAGAGTAGGAGACAATATTTTCAGAATGTATAAGGTAATCAAACACCTTAATTACCAAAAGAATTATCTAATAAAATGTGTATACCTTCAAATTAGATAGGCAAATGTCTGACTAGGGTATAAAAACTGATCTATTATCAAAAGAAATTGAAGATAAATTGCTAACTTATAGGAAATAAAAAGTGTTGTACATTGCTGGTAAGAATATAAACTAATATAATCATTTTGGAAAACAATACAGAGGATCTTCAAAAAACACACTAAAAGTAGAAATATCATTTGATCCGGCAATTATACTACTGTATGTGCATTCAGTGTCCTGGAACTCTCAGCAATCTCATTTTTAATGCAGTGCTATTCACAGTAGTTAAGACTGTGCTTTATATTAATTTATGAGTAGATAAATAATAGGTGATGCTATCTTGGCTGGAGGCCAGAAATGTTAGAAGTGTTTGGGGCTGTGCTCTTTGGCCTGGTTTTCAAATAGTTCTTCCAGGTTTCAGAGAGTAGGACAGCTAAAGCAGTCTCAGGCTATTAAAGTTTTGGACTCCATCTCCCATTTTCCTGTTATCACTAGAAATGTAAACTCCAGCTTTGCAATTCTTTGGGATTTAAATTATCAAAAAATGAAAGTACTTGAATTTTGTTCTAAGTACCATTTCTAGCCCTGGTTGAGGACCTGGGATCCCAAGTCACTCAAAAAACAAGATGGAAGGAATGAAGATTCCTCTGGTGAATTAATGGATGTTTCCTTCCCAGAAGCTTCTTATCAGAAGAGATGCTTATTGTTTGTTACCTCATGCGATATTGTGAACCACTACAATGCAGCCTGACTGCCTTTCTAAGGGCATGAAGTCCTAACATTTCTTCTATCGTATCTTCTCTTCTTTCAAGATAATAGCCTGTTGTGGATATTGCTCTCTATAAATAAAATGCTGATTGGCCAGTAGCCAGGCAGGAAGTATAGGCAGGACAAGCAGAGAAAAGAATCCTGGGAACAGGAAGGTTGAGTCAGAAGATGCTGCCAGCCTCCACCAAGAGTACCAACATGTAAGATATTGGTAAGCCACAAGCCATGTGGCAAGGTATAGATTTATAGAAATGGGTTAATTTAAGATAGAAGAACTAGATAACAAGAAGCCTGCCACAACTATACAGTTTGTAAGCAATATAAGTCTCTGTGTGTTTACTTGTTTGGGTCTGAGTGGCTGCCGGACTGGTGAGTGAAAGAGATTCGTCCTGACTGTCGGACAGGCAGGACTGAAGAAAACTTCAGCTACACTAGCTAAAAGTTATATCTGCTTTTCCTGTTACTCTGGGCTATTTTACTCTTCCTCTGAAGCACTTTGTCTTGTTGCCATCTGGCTGCTTGCCAACTTTCATTGCAAAAGACATTTCTCTCTTCTTTGTTTCCATTTCTTTTTTGACAGCTGCTAAGATTTACAGCTTGCCTACCCTATTGTTTTTCTCTTAAACTCTAGAAAATTTTTCTGGCATTTCAAAGAAAAGAAGAGATGCTACGTACATAGGTTGTGTAGTCACACACATGTACAAGGTAACAGCCTAGTAAGATACAGAAAAGCATGAATCCAATCCTTTAAAACAACATTGATCAACTCAGCAGATATTTTGTTAAGAAAAATATGTCTGACATATAACATAAAATAACTATATTCTCAGTCATATATGGAAACTAAAAATTGGTCTCATAGAATCAAAGGGGAATTTTGGTTTCAAATGCTGAGAAGGATGGTTGGAAGAATGCTAATAACAGGTTCGTGAATGAGGACAAAATTAGGTAACATAGTGAGTAACATGCTGTTACATAGTACTGTTTACTATGTGAGACAATAATTAACTGCACAATTCAAAATAGCTAATAAAGAAGATTTAAGTACTCAATGATAAAAGGAAATTTAAATGTTTGAGATAACTGACATGTTATTTATACTAATTTGATCATAATATATTTTTGTCTTAGTTACCATTACATTTCAACTTGACACACCTAGATCACATGGGAGAAAATCAAGTAAGTAGTTTTTATCATTTTGGCCTATGGGAATGTCTCCAGGGAACCATACTGATTGATAATTGATGTGGAAGGGCCCATTCTGCTGTTGGAGGTTCCATTTCCTGGGAAGGTGGTCTTGAATTGTATGAGAAAACTAACTAAGTATGAGCCAGTGAGCTACCAAGAAATCAAACCAGCAAACATCATTCATCCGCAGAGGTTTCTGCTCCAAGTTCCTCCTGCCCTTAGGACCTTCAATGATGGATTGTGTCATGGAAATTTAAGACAAATATAGCCTTTCATCCCCAAGCTGCTTTTCTTTTCAACTTTAAAGACTGGATTTATTTGGAGAAAAACAAAAAAAACCTCAACCCAAAGGATGGGATTTTACATCTCAAGACATCTCCCAAGTAATGTCTACAGATTAAAATTATTTTCATAGAAGATTATTTTTGTACAAATTTTACATGTATTCAGGAGCGGGACATAAGTCAACCTCTGCTTTTATTTTAACAGAGGAGCAAAGTAGGAGAGTAGGACAGAACAGCTTTCTTCTGGTGCAACTATCTGGAAGGGAAATAGACATGAAGACCTTTTCATTGTCTACAACCAACAGTTTTAAAAAACCCATTCAACCGTGGGTCTCTCTCTAAAAGCCCACTTTCTAGCTACTAGCCAATCAAGTCCACAGGGTAAGCGACTTGCTATGCCCACTGCTGCAGCATACCAAACCAGCGCTCCTGCACAACAGGCCTAGGGCTTGCACATTAAGAACAAGGTCTCATCTGCTTGCAGGTACCTGCTGTCCCACAACAAGGAAACTTGCCCACTTTGGAGCTGACCCCTACACAAAGGTGCAGATCAAAGCAGACAGGTCAACCTACTGTGCAAGAGAAGCCAGGACCTTATTCAATAGTTCTTTGCATTATCCTTTATTCTTGAGGGAAGTCAAGAAACCAACCCCCCTCTAAGCAGAAAACCACAGTCTAGGTCACATTACAAACCCAAGCACTAGCGTGGGGTTCCAGTGAAAGGAAAGTATAGAAACACCCCAATCCAGGCTGAAGACCTTTAAGTCAACTCTCCCCATTTATGTACCCCTATTTACCACCCAAGTCCATCAATTGAAATACTCTGACCTGCAAGGGGGTGGTGAAAGCAGCAGGAACAGACAAGTGGCAGGAATTAACAATACCACTGTAGATGTAACCAACTGTCTTATTAAATAAGAAACACAGAAACAATGTAAAAGAGAAAGCCAAGAGGTCAGAACTCAGAGCTAAAATCTCACCCTTCCTTCTGCTGTCCCAGCTTCCCGAAAGAGAGCTATATCCTTTCTGTACATCTTTTTTTATAGTATTATTGTTCTGCCTTCTCATTGGTTGTAATCCCAAACACGTGACTGCCTTGTCACTGTCTGAATGTACAGCCCCCTAGGTCTTAAAGGCATATGTCTCCAATGCTGGGTGTATCCCTGAACACACAGAGATCTATGGGATTAAAGGCGTGTGCCACCACCGCCACACTCTGTCTATGGCTCTAATAGCTCTGACCGCCAGGCAACTTTATTTATTAACATACAATCAAAATCACATTTCAGTACAATTAGAATACCACCACATACCACAGAGCCTCAGGCCACAGCTTCTGGTGACCAAGATAAAATGCCTGTGAGAGCAGGGACTGCTTTTGGAAGGCTGACAGCGCCATCAAGAACATGAGACGACCAGAGTGACAAGGTTTTGAAAGAATGTGGATAGATTCGAACCTTTAGAAAGGACAGATTTTAGAAGACGAATTTCCCACACCTGCTACGTGCTTCCTCATCAGGGAAATGATCCTTCTATTCATGTGTTTATCAGAGGTCATGCCATTTCCCTTACTACCTGGTATAAAATAACTGATCACTCCCTCAAAGCTTTTCAAACCATGATTGAGTTTCCCATTCATTTTGGTCCCCAAGCAGTACTACTTGTTAGTGACCTGTAGACTCACTCCCAATTACCCTCTTGGGGGGTAAAAAACAAAAAAAAAATCCCCCTAGGCTGGCCCCAGTTAAGTCAGAATTAAAGTAGAAGGACTGGCAGCCTCTGGGAGACTAAAAGAACTTGAACAACTAAATCTACCTTTCCAAGGATGGGAAATTTATTCAGATGAGGTTCGGGAATTCATAGGTACCACCACAGGATAAGAATTAAAAGGTAGACATCACACTCTTCCTTGTACCTTTCTCTATTGCCTCACTGTCAGGACATTTCTGCTGAATGGAGCACCAGGCACTAGTCACACAGGTATCCTGGTATCATCACACTAGCCACCTGGTATCATCAGAACACATCACAACTTCCCCATTCAAAAGCGGTAGCCACATCTCTGGCTGCAATGGTGATTCTCCAGTTACTTCAATACTTTAAAAGGCTGTAGCAGCATGCAAAACAATTTCATCTCATTAAAAAAAAGTTAAGAAAGGTCTTCAGGAGATGGTAAGTTTTATTTTTTCTTGTCTGGAAAGAGGTTTGATTTGTTCTTGAATGTTCCAGGGTGGAGACTAGAAGAAAGCACAGCACGTGGAGGTCTACGCAGTGTGGTCGTCTCCCTCATTCTCATCTTCACCATCTACGGAGAGAGCAGCATACTTGCTTGCAGAACTGAACTTAGAGGCTGGATTCTCCTCAGATTTCTTTGGCTCAGGTGCAGATCTGGAGTCTTGATCTTTTTTGCCATCTTTGCTATCCAACTCCTTCCAGCGGTCTTTGTTCCCTCCTTCTCCGGGACCACAACTGGAGTTCCCAGTTAGGCCTTTTGGGACACTCATCCCATCTATTTTACCTTCATCTTTCCTTGATGGTCCATCCTCAGAGGGCTGAGTTGGAGCCACCTTCCCTCCACCACTTGTAGGGGACTGCTGCTCTGTGTCTGAGCTCTGAGATCGAGCAGGAGGGTTAGAGCCTTGCTTCCCCCATGCATTCTCCTTTGGTGGAAGGGCTGACATTACCTTTAGAGGGTGATCAGGTTTAGGAGGTTTGGAGGTTGGAGAGTGACAGTCTTCTTCTTTATTGAGGGTTTCATTTTCCAGGGACTTCTCACTCTCTCTCCTTCATGGATTTCTGCCAGATGTGGCTGAGGCCCCAGCCTGCGATGACTCACTTCCTGTCCTCGACTGTTCTCTTTCCTGAGTTTCTTCACTTCGCCAACTTGGGTGTCTCTCCTGTGGCTGGCGGTCTAGTTTTGGCTCATCCAGCTGCCACTGCAACTTCTCCCGATCCTTCTGTAGCCGTTCCTCAACTTCTCCTTCTCTAGCAGCTGTGTCCACAGGTTTTGCCCCTCCAAAGATAGAAGCCACTCGAATGAACTGGGAGGTGCTAGCAGAGGAATCATCTTGCTTAGGAGTACTCCGAGGCTTTAGATTCAGTTTGGGTCTTTGAGGGGGACCTCTGTCATCATGCCTATAATCGTCCCTAGGGTAATCATCCCTGGAGCTCCATGATTGATCGTCCCTTCTGTCATGCTGGTCTTCATAGCAGTCCCCACCTCCTCTATAGTCATCATCCCTATGGTACCCACTACCAAATGCCCTCCTGCCACTGCCTATCCGGGAGTCATATCCTCGGTCATAGTCTCTGCTGCCTCGGTCATCATATTGATCCCAGCCCCATAGTGGTACATATCTCAGTGTGGGCCGTCCCGGTACCCATCCCGGTATCTGTCCTGGTACTGGTCTGAATCGTAACGATTTCGATACTTGTCTCCAAAGCTATCATCACCTCTTCTAGGTGGCTAGTCATCAAAGCTGTCGGTGGCGGGACGGGCCCTCCAGTCTGTGTCTGTTTTGTCAGAATCCCGATATCTATCTTGACCAAAAGAATGATCATCCCAGTCTTTATCCTGTGCTTGATTAGCAACGTCCATTGGAATTCTACTGTTACCAAGAGACTCTTCATTGAGACTCAGAGCACTGAGCAGAGAATCCAGGTCCTCAAACTCCGCATAGCCAAAGCCTTTCAACCTGTCTGGATTGCTGTTTTCACGTGGTAAGCATACAGTGCTGATATTTAATCCTCTAAAGAATTCCTTAATAGAGTCTTCTGTCACATCATAGGGCAGGTTCCCTAGAAAAGCACTGTAGGGTGGCAATTTGGGAAGACAGCTCCGGTCGATATTGGGTTACTGAGCAGCCCCATGGAGTGGTAGGAAAGATGGATTGGTCAATTGGAGGTGCCCTGTACACATCATCATTGTTACTGTGCCAGGTTGTTGACACATCTTCCAGATCGTCTGTTTCGTCAGCCCAGCTGACTGGTTTGGGGACATAGGTGCTTTCTCCACCAGTACCACCATCCTCAGCTAGAAAGGCTGTTAGGGAGATGGTCTTCCCCTTCTTAGTCTTCTTTTTTTTTGCTGAGGCTGCCATGTTGGGAGGAGAGAGAACAAAAAGGACCCAGATATCCCTAGCTGCTTTTAGTTAAAGTGTTTTATCACCGTAACACAATGAAACTGGAACAGAATATATATATATATATATATATATATATATATATATATATATATATATATAT